TTAATTATAGGTAAAATTAAATATTTCATATACAATGTCAATAAAAAAAAATACTTCGTCTATTTATTTGTACCAGTTTATTTTTATGACTTATTTAAATATAAAAGCACACTAATAGGTACAGGGCACACTAATAGGGACAGTTACCCTATTTATAAATAATAAGTTATAGATACTTACATTCACCATTATATTTTCGCCTGCCAGTCCTGCCACCGCCGTCGTCGTTGCCATCGTCGGCGACATTACCGCCGTCGTCGTCGTCGGCGTCCCCGCCGTCGTCGTCGTCGTCGGCGTTCCCACCGTCGTCGTCGTCGGCGTTCCCGCCGTCGTCGTCGTCGTCGGCGTTCCCACCGTCGTCGTCGGCGTTCCCGCCGTCGTCATCGTCGTCGACGTTCCCGCCGCCGTCGTCGTCGTCGGCGTCTCCGCCGTCGTCGTCGTCGGCGTTCCCGCCGTCGTCGTCGTCGGCGTCCCCGCCGTCGTCGATACCACGGTCGACATCGTAACGTTTTCTACTGAAAAAAGAAGAATTTGTAAAGAATTAGAATAATGTTTAATATATAATTTAGAAATCTATGCATCTTTGTAAATAAGACACACACACACACACACAAAATATATGTATATACTTACTGGGTCTCGCGACGATCTTTCGTGCAGACGTGATCCTTGATCCTTTCGCCACGACCGTTGCACGTGGAATGTTTCGAGAAACAGGCGCTCGCCGGCTCGCCGGGCTCGTGCCGTGTTGCACTACTTGCGCTGTTGCGACTACTTAATTTCATGTGAACCGATGCGATCGGTAGATTTATTCGATAGATTTCAATCTGTTATTCCAGAAATACGTGTGTTCGATAAATACACATAGTCTTAATATTTGCCATGTCATTATAACTTGTATATGATTTTCGATTTGCATATATAAAAGATTAAATTTACTTATTAGTAAGGCATAATATTATGTGGATGATTTAATTGAAAATCTGTCTTCTTTTCGGTAATGCAATGAATACAATTTGTTATAGCATTGTGACATGCATAAATTCGGATAATTGTAATAAACTTGTAAATATTACATATATAGAAAATTATATGTAATATTTACAAGTTTATTACAAAAAGGATAAAAAAAAGACCTCAAAAAAGAATATTATTATAAAATATAATGAATATATATATAATATATATATATATGTATATATTTATGTATTATAAATAAATTAATTGTTTAATAACAATTATACATTACATACTGTATCTATGTAGCGAATGTGTATGGTGTACAACTGGGCAATAGCAGGTTTCTTTGGTTCTTCTTTACAATCTAGAAATATTTTTTAAATATAAGTAAAAAGAATTAATTGAAATGGATTAATGTAAAAAAGAATTACCGAAAATGTCCCATCCACAAAAATTTCACATGCTTCAGATAGTACTTTTAATAATACATCATTACTAAAAATAAGTGCTACTTTGTTATCAGACGATTTAGCACAA